TTCTCCCGCTAATTTCCACCTATGGCCACGAGTTCTTGTATTTGAACTAATGCTGAAGTAACTATTCGGTTGAACAGCATCCAAACCTGTTAGAATCTTATAGACCTGTATAATGTCCCCCCTCAGTACTCAACTGACTGGTTAAAACAAAATCTTGGTTTGGACTTTTACTCTCTGGACCTGAAATACCCACCCCTGGGGGGGGGGGGAGTGAAGTTTTGGGTTCAAGTGCAGGGTTAGGCCATATACCCAGCATGCTTGGATGATTTTAAGGGGTTAAGGACCTTTCTCAAGGGTCCAACATAAATTTTGCTGAGGCTGGGGCTTGAACTGGCGACCTTCTGATCACAGGCACACAGTGACCCCCCAACAATATTCAAGGTCACTGGGATTCTACTCTTCCCTAAAGCTGGTCAACTGCTTGGATGTTAGGCATTATGTGGAAAATCCGCCTTCCAAATTTGCTTTCATTTTTCCGATTCATTAGGGCTGAGAGGTGACAAGGAGATAAAGGAAACAGGTTGAGATATAATGGAGACAGGTAGAATGAGAAGACAGACCAACACAGAATGGAGGCAGGCAGAAAGATAGACAACCGCTAAAGGACCCCATCAGTGAGAGCGGAGAGAGCTTACCCAGGAGTTTGTTGACATTGTTTTTCTGTAAGTGCCCAATAAAGTGCCACTTGATTTCTGGACACGACAACAAAATCTGCCAAAAAAAAACCCAAAAAACTAAAATTTAACTGGCAGGGGGACACAGTAAGAAAACATGCAACATGAGTCAAAAAGATTCTATATGATACCCAAAAATGACAAGAAACTTGGGCATGCCTGAAAGGAGACTTTTGGCTTGTAAGAAATTAAAAAATAAGTATATAAAACAGCCATTTACCTGAGGGTCTGACGCTTTTTCCACAAGTTCATTAACCTGATGGCAGGAAAGAAAACAGAAGGGCCTGATAAAGACAGAGGCTTCTCTTTGCGGGAGCCACATGGCACGTGCGCACAAGCGGAAGTCATGTGACTTCTCTCGACCTGACCCACTGCATCATAAAAACTACATTTTTAGATTAAGACTGACTTTATTTATCGCAGGGAGCTCTACAGCACTAACACTCAGCTCTAAACAATAAAGATCATTTATTGTTTTTCCAAGGCAAAAATTTTGCCACTAATATAAACCATAAAAAAATTAATTGTTTTATTCCAGAATGCAAAATGAAGGAGGGTAAAATACATGAACAATACTAGTTCCAGAGGACAAGATCTAGATGTTACCAAAAGTTGCACATCCCTGAGCAGGGCAGGATCCCCTTGCACATCCCTGATGTTTCCTAAGCAGGATACTCACATAGTTCTCCCCGAAGTTACGCTGCCCCTGTCGGTACGCCTCAATCACCATCTCTGGTGGCTTCGTCTTGCTGACAGCCACCAGCCGTGGACTGATACAGGGCAGAGTCTATGGGTGGATGGGGTGGGCGGTTTTTCAGGGCAGGCTTTTTTTGAAGGTAAAAACCCTGCATCCCCACCTCCCAGCTGGCCATGTGATTCACAGGACTACAATTGGTCAAACGTACAAAGCAAGGGACAGCGTCACAGAAGCATAAGGCTTGTTAAGGAATGGCAGCAGACCCACACCAGCATGAATAGGGTCCATTCATTCCCCTAGAAGGCCAGTGAGGAACTGAATTAATATGGAAGGTACCCCCCCACCCAATTTCACAAACCCCACATTTTCCAGAGTGATTTCACATCTTACATAAGTCACGTTTTCTGCATTCACCAACCACTTCAAAAGCACAAATATGTATACATGTTGTGCAAATATATATATAAAAAACTGGCATACTGACCGAGCTGGCATACAGTTTGATTTCGAAAAAAGGCACAAACGTGTGTGTGTTTTTGAGTAAAACTTGCATGACAAAAAACTAATTTGTTACTTTACCGCCATGTAAATACTATTTCATTCATTTTTGTGTGTTTATTCCCATCTTTACCCCGCAGTCTGACGACACCGACAGGAACCGCTGCGTGATCTTTGAAGTAACCCCGACACGAGCGCCTTACATAACAGGTACTTACAGATAATGTAACATCACGACCACGCACGACTCAGTCCCGTTATATTTAGGAGCTAAGTCACGAGAATTTTACATAGTTTTACGTCTGGGTTTTTCAAACGAAGTAATTCAGGTTAAGCACTTTGCTGAAGGGTAACATAACAGGAAGGCTCCGGGATTCGACCCTGCAGCCTTCAGGTGACGAGTTCGGCTCCTTAACCTTGGCGGGAGTGCGGCGTACTGCATGCTTTTCAAACGATAACGTTAAGATAAGCGAAAGCGTGAGGACATCGTGAAATGTCATCGCGCGCACGGTCACCGGGAACATGTACGCGCCGGGCGCGATCACGCTGCACACGATACGCGTCCCAAGGCCCTCCGCACCGCTCGTGCTCTCCACACACTCATCCTGCCGCCGTCACGAGTTAACGGCGCGGCATTTTCAGTCTTTTACGAATAACTAAATGTTTTTTTTAATGGTCACAGTGAACAACCGGCGTTACCCATCATCTGTGCTTTCCCGGGCACCCACATATGGCTCGGCACACACAGCCTTTTATGCGTTGCCAACTTTGACAGTAGGCAAGAGGTAGCTGCCGCTTGCTGTTAATTAGCTTGTTGGTTTGTGTGTGTGTGTGTGTAACTAAAAGAGAAGGAGAAAGATTTAGAAAGCTTGCAAGTGCTTCAGTCCAAAGCTTGAAGACGTTACTATTTACACAACCCCACCGCTAACCGGATTACGACTGCGGAGCATCCACTTCGTGCAAATCCCCGAAGTGCTAAGGACCAACCTGCGGACGGCGGGCAGCCGCCTGCTTTACCCGCTCCACTACCGTCTGTAGCGCCTTGCCGATTTCTTCCGACATGCCTGCTCTCCACATAGTCCCCAACACCGCCCACTATCTGGGATAACCGTCATCAGCTCAAATGATGCTCTTGATTGGCACGGGCCACAGCCAATGACTTTAAAGTATTTCTTTAGCATGGGGAACCACCGACAGCTAATTGGATGGAATCAGGATGACGTATTTGAAACCGCCCAGCTGATCGAGCGTCAGGAACCCTAAATAACTCGCCACGTGATTGGTCGTCTACGAAGCATCCATTGCTTGCACATTGGCCTTTAATAATTGGAGGGCGTGATCCAAAGACCATATCGGATTTTATGACCTACAACTGTAATAATAAGTACTGTACAATATTGTACTGTTAGAATTGCTGCAAATACTTCATGCTGCAGCACATTTTTGGTCATCATTATAAGCACCAAATATATGATTAATACGATATTATGAGTAAGAATGTAATCTATATTGTGGCGGAAATGGGCATAGCTCAACATTCAGGTAGATCTCGTAACTTAGTACATATGTGCAAGTATGCATTTGCATTGTTTTGACAAGAAATTACCGCGCATTGGTTGGAATTCTGCCTCGGTTCTTTGTGTGTAGAAGTTTCATGTGTCGGGTTTGCTCTGCCTTCATGTAGGTTGCTCTAAATTGTCCGTAGTGAAATGATTCATGTGTGCATCTATATGCTGTCTGATGGACTGACATACTATCTATAGATCAGGTCTCTTTTAGCCGAACAGTCTTCAGTCCTCTACTAACCAGTAGCTCTGCCTGTGATCTGTTATCCAACTGTAGCAAGCTCTGCTAACACCAGCTTCCAGCAGCCTTGGGGTAGTCAGTGGCTCAGCGGGCTAGGACGCTGTGGCTGTAATCAGAAAATTACAATTTGAGCCCCATGTTCATCGGAACAGTCAGATGTTCATGGGCCCTTGAGCAAGGCCCTTAACCTCCCCAGTTTCAGGGGGGCTGCATATTAGTTGACCCTGTACTGTGACCACCCCACCCCTCCAAGCTATGCAAAGCAAGATGGGGTCAGGTAAGAGAAGCATCCCAGTGTACTTGTGCAAATGGCAAATAAAGCATGTTTGCTTGTTATTGTGTGGCAATAAATATTCTCATTCTGATTACATCCATCTGTGTTGTTGGCAAATACTGACGTCATTTGTGGTGTAAAGGTTAAAAGCACAAAAATGTCTTGTCACAAGAGCACAAATGAGCATAAAATAAGGAATGATGGGGGAAAGTGTTCAATTTTCACACTTAAATAAAAGCACAGATACCACACCAACACGTTACTCGACTAAACGTCGTTCACTGAAATACTCAAGTAAAAAAATAACTGGTTTCAAATGTACGATGGTCACGCAGATTGTATCAGAGTAGAAAGTTGTTGTTTGGCTCATAAATGTATTTGTATTTATGCCTCTGCTGAGACCATATTGTCTCGTGTTGTATATGCACTGTACTACTTATTTCAAAGAAAGTTTATGGTTCTCTTGATTTTTTGCTGAAATCTTGGAAACTATGGTTCATGATAACAGACAGCTGCAGTGTCCTGGGAAGGAACGTCTCGGTTCCCTTTCCTGGTTGCCGTTTTAGGCCCAGCAGGTGGCGATCTTTCTCAGAATGTGAGCGCTGTGTTCTTCATCATGATTTCCCAAGAGTCATTTTAAATATTTTTAATGCAGAATTTAAACCGAACACAGAAAGACAGCATGAATAATAATAATAATAATAATAATAATAGTTCAAGTTCTCCCCTTGTCGTGGGGTTTCCTCTGGGTGTTCCGGTTTCTCCCCACAGTCCAAAGACATGCTGAGGCTAATTGGAGTTACTAAATTGCCCATAGGTGTGCATGTGTGAATGAATGGTGTGTGAGTGTGCCCTGCGATGGCCTGCCCCCCCGTCCTGGGTTGTTCCCTGCCTCGTGCCCGTAGGTTCCGGACCCCCCGCGACCCAGAAGGATAAGCAGTTTGAAAAATGGATGGATGGATAATAATAAAAACGTTTAGGTTACTGAATTTGCCTCTCTTTATTTGAGTCCACAGTAGAAATAATGATTCTGTTTCAAATTAAGTCGAATGCTTTATTGTACTTTTCCATTATTTCCTTTTTTCATCGGAAGATGTTGAAATGATGTCATGTTGTTATTAAATGCCGAGTCCAAGACACATACCAACGGACCAGATGTCAACTGAAAGTCCGAGGCACATACCGTAATCAGACATGCCTGGAGAGAGAGAGAGAGAGAGAGAGAGAGACAGAGGGGCGGGATTATTCTCAACCCAACCCAAAACCACCAGGTTCCACCCCTTGTAATTAAGAGCTTTCTGGTTCTCAGAGTGTTTGCCCCCACTCGCTCTCTAATATGACCGTCTATTTTACTGTCATATATATTGCAATGATAAATATATAAATCATACACCACAGTAAACCGTAACAGTGCAGGGGAAGTATTGCTATATATGTATGCATTGGTGACACTTTATTTTTGCACATGCTTGGAAATAACTTAAACCGAAGAGTAACTTATTTCAGTGCTTTCAAAGTTTATGATGTTTGCTCTAGCAGAAAGATATAAAATGGTTCATAGAATAAAATAACACATGCAGATAAATATTTGAATGGAAAATGGAAACACACTGGAGATTATAAAATTAGAATATTATGTTTGTGTAAATAAAAGCCATACAGTACATATGAACCGAGAATCTGAATTAAAAATTAAAAATTTGACTAAGCATTTTCTAAACACGGAGAGGCTTTGCTGTGTTGATGAGGTATTGCATGATCTCAGCTAACAGGGAACGTTCCCAGAACTTTAGCTAATGTTATTTAACGGCCCTCTCAAAGTTAGCAGAGAACGTTCTTACTGTAACGTTAATAGAACATTTTTTTATGATTTACAAAGGTTCTGTTAATGTTAGCATGGTGATATTACCAGAACACCGTTTTAACATAATTAATGTTGAAAAATATTGTTTTAATAAAATTATTATTTTATAAAAATGCAATATACATAAACACCACCTGGCCTTGAACCTACAACCTTGCAAGTAGCATACTCTAGCGCTACTAACTGCTCTAACAAGTCTTATTTTAAGTCTGTGTTATTTTTCATAGTTGCAGTAGTACTTGTAGTAGTGGGCTAACATTCTGGAAGTGTCCGGCAACTTGGACTCATTGAATTGTAACGTTTGGTAAACATTTCTAAAACTAAAATTTGTTAGCCAATAACAATGCCGTTAAGTCACCACAGTGTGGGACAGGTGCAGTGATAACATCTCACTGGGTTGACCTTTGTAGTAGGGAGTGTTAAGGTTGTGCTGCGATACCATGTGCAGCACGGAAGACCCAGAAGAACATAGTATGTTTGTTTAGTCTCCGCTGTCTCCATTTTAACAGCCCCGGTAATGACCTCTTGAGAGGTGCTTAATGGGCTTCATGCCTCTCCCCTGATCAGTTTCTCTCCATGGCTCTGTGCTCTTTCTCTTTCGGAGCCCTAAATCGCCACACGCGCTGCACCAGGACTCGTACCTGATTGTCTCTGGGTCCAATAGA